TAAGCTTCCTTTTGGGCACACTTTTTCCACCCATAGCGTTTCTGTAAGCAAATCTATTTCTCTTATATTCTCAATTTTACTGTATACCCTCTCTGACATACAGAGCCACTCCACCTCTGACAATTCTCTGCCTATCCTTCTGGTATAATTTATATCCAGTAATCACTGTATCCCAATGATTATCCTCATCCCACCAAGGTTCTGAAATGCTCCTCTGTTTTAGCCACCATGGATGTGGAATCTCTGTATACCAACATTCCACACAAAGGTGGATTAGAAGCCATAAGGAACATGATTTCTGACAGCAACGCAGGTGACTTTGCCACCAAACTGGGCCATTTTGTTCTCACCCATAACCACTTCAGATTTGGTGACAACCTGTTCCTCCAGATCAGTGGTACAGCCATGGGCACCTGCGTGCCCCCTTAGTATGCTAACATCTTTATGACTGACTTGGAACAATGCTTCCTAAACTCCCACCCACTCGTACCTCTCCATTACATTGATGACTTTTTTTGTCTGGGCACATGGTAAAGAAGCCCTGGACACATTCCACCAGGCATTCAATGATTTTCACCCCACCATCAACCTGACAATGAACCAATCCATGCAAGAAGTACATTTTCTGGACACTACTGTAAAAGTACACAATGGACACAGACACCACCTTATACCAGAAACCTACTGACCGACAGACATACCTACATGCCTCCAGCTACCATCCTAAACATACCAAATGATCCGTTGTACACAGCCAGACTCTACACTACAGCTGCAGCTGCTCCAATCCTACAGACAGAGATTCTCACCTGAGGGATCTACAACACACCTTTTTGGAACTAAAGTATCCACCTGATGAAGTCAGGAAACAGATTAACAAAGCCAAACTGATACCTAGAGAAAACCTGTTAAAAGACAGGCCCAAAAGAGACAATAATAGAATACCACTAGTAGTCACATACAACTCTCAGCTCAAAACACTTCGACACATCATCAATGACTTACAGCCTCTACCGAGTAATGACAGTTTTCTTTCACAAGTACTGGGGGGGGGGGCAAACCTTTTCTTGTGCACAGACAGCCCCCCTGTCTCAAACAACTCCTCACCCATAATAATGCAACACCTAATTTGAACATGGGCACTGGCAATAAACCCAGATGCCAACATTGCTGCCACATGCATCCAGACAACACAATCACTGGACCTAACAACATCAACTATACCAACAGAGGCTCATTCACTTGATCATCTTCCAACATTGTATATGCCATTAAATGCCGACAATGCCCTTCAGTTCTCTACACAGGATAAACCCTACACCAGAGGATAAATGGACATAAATCTGACATCAGGAATCACAAGACTGAGAAACCTGTAGGAGAACACTTCAGCCTTCCAGGACATTCAGTAGGTGACCTCAAGGTAGCTGTTTTATTACAAAGGAACTTCAGTACAAGGATGGAAAGGGAAATTGCTGAATTACACGTTATTACAACACTTGGAACAAAAACCTCCCCAGGACTCACCAGGGATATTGGTTTCTTATCTCATTACATATGCTAACTCATTCAGTCCTCAGATATGTATTCTCATACAGAAGGACTATACATCCTCTGATTGAAGGCAAAAGAATTCAAAAGATTGAAGATAAAAGAAGAAGGGGACGACAAAGGATGAGATGGTTAGACAGTGTTATCGATGCAACGAACATGAAGATGTGCAAACTCTGGAGGATGACGGAGGACAGGAGGGCCTGGCGTGATGTGGTCCATGGGGTCGCGAAGAGTCGGACTTGATTGTGCGACTGAACAAAAAAACCCCATCCTCTGTATTTTAGTGTATTTATTTTTCAGAATAGTATATTAGAATACTGAATATAAGACAAGGGATATTGAAATGTTTGGTTGACATAACACTGCACCCATCTCAAAAAAGAAAAAAATGCTGTTAAGTGACCTCCACATATGAGAGGAGTGAATGGAGACTCTCATTCTTATTTTGACATATTTATTGTTTTACAACTGTCGACCTTATAACCTTAGCTTGCTATTTAGTTTTGTCTTCACGTATCTTAAAACATCTTCATCATGTTACATGTTAATTTGCTGTTCAGCCCCTGTCTATAAGTTTGAACTTTACCTTCCATTCCAATGTATTTGAAAAAGTGTGCATGCACACGAAAGCTCATACCTTGAATAAACTTTTGTTGGTCTTAAAGGGGCCGCTGGACTCTAAGTTTGTTCTTATGTTCTCCTCTGGCACCAAGCATTCCAGCTCCCCCATTTTACCTCAGACACTTCTAACATTTGCATATAAACATCTATAATTCCCCAGACACATTAGGCCAGCAACCTTCCTCCTGTGGCCTCTAGACCTTCTCAGGCGGTCAATATTGTTTGTCACCCTCTCAGTGGCCAGTCTTTACCCATTTCCTTCTAGAACTGTAACAGCTACCCCTTCATCTCTTAGAGATGAGCCATTCCAAACTGGAGACATTTCATCTCCTGGTGACTTTCCCCCAGGATTTAGTTTTAAAACTGTCCTGCTACAGTTTTGACTTTAAGCAACAGCAGCCAGATTCCTTCTTGGGACAAGTGGAGACTGTCTCTTTTGTACAGGTCCTGCTTGTTCCAAAAAACATTCCAGTGCCTTAAACTCCTCATCCCTACACCATCCTCTCATGCACACATTGAGACTCCTAATTTGTGCCTGTCTAGCTGGCCCTGCATGTGGAGCTCTTCCGCCAGACTTTTGAGTAGGAGCTGCCACTAGTTTACCATCACTAGCTTCTGGCCCTGGGAAGAGAGAACAACAGCGCCACATGGAACTAGCAGCACTGATTGGGTGTATCATCTTCGAGACGTCATCTTTATGGAAGATCTTGTTTGAACATCTAGAGCACTTAATAGGTTGTAATTATGTGTAACATAGTAGTGATGTTTTTATATGGTTTTAATCTGTTTTATGTGTTGGCTTTGCCTGTCTGTGAGCTGCCCTGAGCCCGCGTTGCGGGGCAGGCGGGCTATAAATTGAAATTATAAATAAATAAATAAATGTGGAATAGTCAGCACTTCTGAGAAGGCTACCTTGGAGGTCCTGGCCTTGAGTCTCCTGCTTAGCAGCCTAATATTTTCCTCCAGGACCTCATTACTGCATTTCCCCACATCATTGGTACCAACATGTACCATGACCACTGTCTGCCAACCTATCTAGACCATGCATAATGTCCATTACCTTCACACCAGGCTAGCAAGTCACCATGCAGTCAGTACACAGCTTTGCAGCCCATCTATCTTCATGCCTAAGGATCGAACCACCAACTACTAATAGCCCCCCTTCCCTTCCTGCCCAGGGATGGTTCCTTGATGCGAAAGGATACTTGTTCACCAACTGTAGAAGGGGTCCCTTCTGAGGGAACATTCCTCCTTTCTCTAGCACAGTGCCTTGTTTCCCCTTGATCCTCATGCTCCATGACAGCAGCAGGGCTGCCATTCTCAGAGTGGGACATATCTAACAAGTCCCTGAGAGTCTTATCTGTCTCTGCTTCTCCAGGTCAACAGCTTTGGCTTCATTCCGTGAGAACTAGGTGCTCCCAGCTCAGAGTCTACACCCATGACTTCTGTCCACTCAGTACAATACACTGGATAGCCCCCAACCCCCAGCTGGCATTCTACCTTCATAATTACTTTTTAAAAATCCTTTTTAAAATAAATTTCCTATTTATGTAGATCCATTTGTGGAAAGTGTGCTTACCCTTTTAGGGACATGGGGAGACTAGTGCCCTAGCCTCCTCATCCTGCTGCTGAACTTGCACATCTGCTAAACTAGCCTATTTATTCCCCTGTTCCGGACACTTAGGCAGTGGAGCTGGGCCTGCTACCTCACATAGCTGGGGCTTACTTGTAGAAACACTAAATAAATAGCTTGGGCCAACCCCCCCCCCCACTGGAGCCAATCACACTGATGGGGAGCTAACCAATAAAGGAGGATGAGTGAGTCAGCCTCTGGTTATGATTAACAACAGGTATTGCTGAAAGGGAGCTGCTCAGGCAAGAGCTCCTCTCCTTCCCAGGCTGTGTTTTACTTCAAATGCTAATTTAATATTAATTTAATTTCAAATGTTAATTTAGCTCTTCTAGGCTCCTGGATGTCCTTGTATTGGACTGTAATTTGTAATTTTTGTAGACCCACATTTAAATGCCAATTTGTAAAATTGTATTGAATATCTCTCCTCTCCAGAGAAATATATTTTCCCCATAAAGAGTGCCTAGCATTTTGCAAGATATACGTGAAAAGAAGATGTGAACATATGTGCTACTCTTCCTATGTTACATTAACATCCTGTATCTTCTAAAAGTGCCTTGGAAGGGAATTTGTCATTATAACTGAGGGCTGGGGAATGATCATAGGATATTTTATGTGCAAGGATGGTGGCAAAATATTTGTTCAAATGGGTTTAGATGGTCATCGTCAAGTCCTGCAAAAACTTTGCATTTGAGTTGATCTGCTATGCCCTAATCTTGCCATATTTACCTTTGACTAGTCCAAGCTTTCATTTTGCCTTCCTCTCACCATCAGCTCATCTAATTTTACCATCCTAGATAACACCATGAGAGAATCTAGCAGGATATTTTTCATGGACCGAATTGGATGCGGAAAGTAAGGAACGGTATTTTAGCTGAGGAATTGGTGGGTGACTGTAGGAGATAACTGGAATAAGTGAAACTGAGAAACAGTGTCAGAAAGGAATATAGAAAGACTTGATTCGGAAGCAGAGGTAATGGGTCAGTGTTATATATCTTCTTGTTTTTTGTTTTTTTTATTAAAGTATTATTTCATATTTTTAAAAAGATGCATTGAGACCCTGAAACTGGCATTTCATTAAAAAAAATCCATCAGTTTTTCTTTCCTGAGGCATGAACACTTGAGGGGTGCCCTCTAATGTTTGGCACATATATTTCTCCTACATACACATTTGTTTACTTTTTTTCTTCTACAGATGGAACTCCCAAAATAATTTCTGCCTTCAGTGAGAAGGTGGTAAGTCCAGGAGAAGGTGTTTCCTTGATGTGCAGTGTGAAAGGAACTCCTCTTCCCACAATCACATGGACATTAGATGATGATCCCATCATTAAAGATGGCTCCCACCGGATCAGCCAGATCATCACCTCTGAGGGGAACGTTGTCAGCTATCTGAATATCTCCAGCACTCAGGTCCGAGATGGCGGGGTCTATCGTTGTACTGCCAACAACTCTGCTGGAGTCGTCCTGTACCAGGCTCGAATAAACGTAAGAGGTGCTTGTCAAATCAGCTCCTCCAAAAAACAAACAACAACCTCATTGTAGTAAAGACAAGGTTTACTGCATGCTATGATCTTTACCGTGGAATGCTAAGAATGATGCCATTTTATGCTGTCTCCATTTTCTTCCAGTCTCATGTAGAAAGTATGTTATCACACAGCATATTATGTAGCTATACTAATTAATTCAGCTATTTATTCTAAAATATATACAGAATTTTTGTTTTGCTTGCATGTCTCTTTTTTCCCATTGGAGTTCCTCCATCCATTGCAGTCCCCCATGTCTAAGATATTCTAGCACAGAGTTATAGTTCATTTTGGCCCAGTACTCATCTTCATGGTATACACGTAATTCAAAGTAAACATTAACTTGCTCAATGATTTCATAAGTACCAGACTACTGATTCAGCCTAGGGTTTCCCCCCCTTCCATATCTTTAATTTTTAATTCAGCACAGATTTTTATCACACAAGTGTTCCAGTGATGCAAGCGCATAGCAGAACAGTTAATTAGTGTGGCTGCTGTAGGGCTAGAGAAAAACTTAAAAGTACAAAATGATTAGGAAGACCCCTTAAGTAGCTCTTTGAAGTAAAAACTGTCACAGACTCTGATTTGTAATAGCAAAAAGATTTGTAAATTTAAAAGAAATTAATATTTCATCTACTAAATACACACTTAAATTATTTTCAAGAGTTTTGTTTTACCTTTACAGGGCCAGCCAGCATTCGACCAATGAAAAATATTACAGCAATAGCCGGGCGGGACACCTTAATTCATTGTCGTGTCATTGGCTACCCATATTACTCCATCAAGTGGTACAAGAATTCTAACCTGCTTCCTTTTAACCATCGTCAAGTAGCATTTGAAAACAATGGAACATTGAAGCTCTCAGATGTCCAGAAGGAAGTAGATGAGGGTGAATATACATGCAACGTTCTCGTTCAACCCCAGCTATCCACCAGTCAGAGTGTACATGTGACTGTAAAAGGTAAGGCACACATGGAAAATGATTCTTGTAAAAGTCAGAAATCAGAGAACTATAGCCATATTTCCTGGACACGTTTACCATCTGCAGGAACACAAACATTCCTAAGGAAACATCCTGTGAACTGGCATGTCTCCAGCTTTGGCAGTAATTTTCCAGCAATGATTCTTGCTTATGACAACTTTAAAAAGAAAGTTATGATCACATATGTCTTTTTGGGAAGCTGCAGCTGTATCTGGGAACTTGGCAACAGCAGATAAAGTATTATTAATTTATTTACTTCATTTATACCTGCCTTTCTTCCTACTGGGACCCAAAGTGGTTTACATCATTTCCACTCTTCCATTTTATTATTTTGGATAAACACATAATGAGGATAGATCAAGCTACCTTACATAGAGCCCTATGGGCCTCTCAACTGGCTATAAAGACTCTGAGCTCTGAAATAGTTACAAGACATTTACATTCTAATACAAAACCAATAATGTTGGGTAGTTTAATGTGAAATTCATTCTATGCTCTTACTTATATACAGAGCATTATTAACTATCCTATTATCTTAGTCTGTATCTTTAAATATTTCAGCTTTTTCTTCAGTGCCCTAAATCATTGACATCAAAGAGAAGGAGAAGAATTAAGCATTGCATAGGAAAAGTTTATTCTTCATTTTGTTAGGAGCTGGCACCTTAGTATTAGAAGCCTGTCTGCCATTTATCCCAAATTAATTGTGTGTCAACCTATCGGCTAGTTGGTATCTTTCCTCTCAATGATTTGAAGAAAGTTAATACATTCAAAACTCTTCAAATAGGCAATTGTTCCACCTTCTTTCTTCTCTTTTTGTTTCAGTACCACCTTTTATCCAGCCTTTTGAGAGTCAACGGTTCTCTATTGGACAGAGAGTCTTCATACCATGCGTTGTGGTCTCAGGGGATCTGCCAATCACAATAACTTGGCAGAAGGATGGCAGGCCAATCCCAGCCAGCCTTGGGGTAACCATTGACAACATTGACTTCACCAGCTCCTTAAGGATTTCTAATCTTTCCCTCATGCACAATGGGAATTATACCTGTATAGCTCGAAATGATGCCGCCGCCGTGGAGCACCAAAGCCAATTAATTGTAAGAGGTAAGTATATGTAATTAGGCCACATGGCAACAATTAGGTAGAAGTCAACAGCATTATTAAATAACATCTGTTTGATGGGAGATAGAAACTCTTGGAATATAGGATAATCCTTCTTCTGTCAGAGAGCACACAACACAAGACTAAAATATGCACATATACAAAGGAGACTATCTGAGTAAGTTGCATCAAGAAATGTTTTTGTGTACAGCTGGAAAACACAGGATTTAACATATGGAAAACATTCTGAAGTACTATTCTTTAGGTGCAAAGCATTTGGAAAAGCTGTTAGATTATTTTTGATGGTATTTTAGTTCCAAGTCTGTCAATTTTTAATTTAGAAGAATAGCAAAATTATGCTAATCAGCAGTCAAACTTTGTGGCTTTCATTATAAAGGAATGGTTCTGTTTTGCCTTATATGTTAGAAATATTATTCCAGGGTTATTTTTGGGCAGGAACGCACAGGGACGGAGTTCCGGCTGGCTCCCGAATTGGCCACACCCAGCAGGAACTCATTAGCATAATAGGCCACACCCAACAGCAGAAACTCATTAGGACTGGCTACATTAGGGTGTGTGGCCTAACATGCAAAGGAGTTCCTGCTATAAAAAAGCCCTGGGTTTTGACAACAAACAAGGTAAACAGAATAAGAAGCAAAAGGTGAGTGTGTCTGGATGACCACACTTCTGCGAACATGGGGTGTGTAGCTTAATGTGCTAATGAGCTGTGCTGTCAGGGGTGTGTCCTAATAAGCAAATGAATTTCTGCTGTTGGGTGTGGCCTATTATGCTAATGAGTTCCTGCTGGGCTTTTTCTACAAAAAAAGCCCTGATTATTGCATTTATTCAGAGGCTGAGTTTGCATTGGATCTTGATTGTTGGTGGATGGCATGTGCTATGTGGTCCTGTTTCTCATGAGTTTTGCTCTGTCTGAATGGGTCTGCCAAACATCTACCATATGTTTATTTTCTGCTTGGGAAGGCTGCCGGTTCTCTAGTAGTGGCTGCTCTGTTTCCTTGTCAAATATAATAGTTACATGTATGTGTTTTATTTTGTAAGCCTCCTCAAGCAGGTTCTTTATAGAGGCAACATAGGCATTTTCTAAATAAGTAAATAAATCATGTTTGAATCTGGGCACCAAGGGTCATCAAGGAACGTAGTATATAGAACATAACTACTACGGTATGTTAAAAAGGTATTTTGTTTGTTATAATTTCAAAACTTGAGGTGCAGCATCAACTGGTGATTTACTCTTTGATAATATATTGCTTAATTGTTGATATTTTAGTTATACATGGCATCCTGTTATTGTGTGATATTATTAACTAGTAAGGAAAGCCCGTCGTGGCGGTAGACGACGGGCCCTAGATAGGAAGGAAGGGCGAGTGGAAGGGAGGAATGGAGAAGAGGAGGTAGAGAGAGAGAGACAGAGTTAGAGAGGGGGGAAAGAGAGAAAAGGGGGGGAGACAGAGTGGGGTTAATGGTATTATTTTGGAAAGAAAGGAAGGGAGAAAGCTAGGAAGGAAGGAAAGAAGGCAAGGAAGGAAGGAAGGAAGGAAGGAAGGAAGGAAGGAAGGAAGGAAGATGGGTAGAAAGACAGAGATTGAAAGAGAGTGAATGGGAGGAAGGATAGTTGAGAAGGAAGAAGGGCAGAGAAACAGAGGGGGGAAACAGAGTGGGTGAGAGAGAGAATGTGGGGAGGGGAGAGAGAGAAAAAGGAGGGGGGGAGGGGACCCGGCCTGGACTGTGGACAGGGCCCGGGGGGAAGCGGTGGACGGAGGGCTGGGCTGAAAGCGTCCCTTACCGTATGTGGGGAAGATGGCCGCTCAGAAGAGCTGGCTCCGATGACTGGCTCCCTCCCCTCCCAGCCACCCAGCCAATGGCAGGGCAGGTTGGC